AACGGGGGAGGGAGAGGGATGCCAAGCTCCCAGTCCGTGCGAGGAACGTCTAAGTTAGGCTTTCGACTGCAGAGGAGGTGTTTACACTAAAAGTTATTATCAGAAGACAAGGTTTGGGTGCAGCTTAGATGTAGGAGTTCCACAATAGCCCTGAAAGCCCCTTTATTGTGTGAACACATGTAGCTTTAATTCTCTCTTCCACTGGATAAATAAAAGGCAGCAAAGTGATTTCAGCAGAAAGATAAGCAAGTGACAACAACAAAAAACTTTAGGAAGCAACAGGACATTAGTACGAGACAGGAGGTGTATAAAGACCCACAATCCAAGGGGTGTCTCCAGGGAATGTAAGGGCAGAGATACAGTAAAGCAGTCAGAAGGAGGTATTTCCAGGAGTGTTCTTCGTATTAGTCTTTTCAGGAAGAGCACATCATCGAGGAACGTGAGAGTCGAAGGAATAAACAGAGTGCAGACACCAGAGGAGGTGAGAAAGAAGCGTTTACCAGCCTGCTACTGGCAAACATAAAAGCAGCTAGGACTACAGAGCTTTGCTAAGGGCATACAACAGATACCATCCCAGGCTGCAGGATGCACCTGGCTCCTCCCCCGGACAAACCTCACTGCACGCTCTCCTAAATACTGTATTACAAACAGTAATAGGAGCGCAGTAGTGCTGATATGCCAGGGAGTGACTTATTTCAAGGCAGACCAAGTGGCTTTGCAGAAGCTAAAAATGGTTAGCAGCCAACAGTCTCCCCCGAGCATCTCCATAAAACTCTCTAGGATGTTCACAGAGAGCAGCCCAGGTTGCGCAACCTAGACTAGCGATCCTGCTACGGAATTTAGGACTGAGTAGTTTCAGCATGCTCTTTTACCTCAAGTGATCCATGCTCCAGAAGAGCATGTCCCCTTGTGCTGGCAACTCACCGTATTTTAGTTCACAGATCTGACTGTCTTTCTTCTTTAGTTTCTCACAGATCTTTTCCACGGGGATGTGATGACTCATGGGCTTTGATACCTCATTAATGATTTTGGTGGCTGCATCACTTGTGGCCCCAACATAATAGCACTAAAAGGAAAGAAAAGAATGAGGCAATGCATGGGAAAGAGCTTTTAGAAGGAAAGTTTTCTATCCATCTTCTCACTTGGTTTTGCAGCTAGATGTTTACTGTTACAGAACCTTTCCAAGTGACTACTCCAGACAGGCAAAGGCAAGCTTAACTCAGCCCAGGGTACCAAGCAGATGTTTCCCATCACACTGCTTTTAAAGCTGTTGTCTGGTTAAGGCTGGTTGTGTTGTTTCTCAACTTTAAAAAAAAAAAAAAAAGATTTTGATTACTAATAAAGACTTTGTCATTCAAGGAGAAAGGCTTTCTTAAGCGTTCCACCTCTGCATTTCTCATGATGTCTCTTTGTAGTTCTCTTAGGAGAGTTTGGGGCCTTTTCCATGGGCCCTTCCTTTAGGGATTGCCTTCTGGTTTTACTTAGGGCAATTTGACCCTTATTTAATTTTCAGCTAAACAGACGAAGAGCATAAGTATTTTAACAGCTTGTACAGCATCTCAAATACAGTTTAAGGGACAAGGAAATCCTACAGCAAGTAAAAGCTTTGTGATCCCCAGCACCTCAGTAACAGGGAGAAACAAGGTCACCCTTGATGATCTCTGTTCACTGATTTGGGTTTTTTAATTTTTTTTTTTTTTAAAGTGAAGAGGTCAAACTCCTCAGGTCCTCTCTTATAAAAAATACAGGACCAGTTGTGGCCACAGAGCTAGGAGGTACAGCTCCTGGGAAGTCCAGTCATAAAAACTCAGAAGCAGTAGCTTCCGCTCACTTGCCAACTATTCTACAACTTATTCAAAAGGCAAATATCATTGACTACTACTACTTACCAAGCGGTTCTCTTTGCCTTTTGCTTCTTTGCAGGATTTCAAGAGCTCCTTTTCAATACTGGCAGGTGTGAACTCAACGTCGTTGTCCTTTAGACTCTGGTAGAACCTTCCCAGGAACGTGACACACACTGGAAGGGAAGATGGATGGAGTTAACCTGCCACTGCAATAATCTTGTGGCAGGGCTTTGAGGGTTTTTACAAAATAAGGAATTTGGAAAACAGGGCTTCTAGAAGCTGCAATAGCAGTCACTGACTTCACACATACTTCAGTAAGTCTTTGAGAGGACACACGAATCAATGATATGCCCTAGTACTTCTGGTGGGGTTTTAACAATCTGAAAAAACAGATCCATGAAGCGTCCAGTGGCTTCTGCACACTGTCCTGAGTGAGCAGCAGTATTCAGCTGAAGGGTACAACAGAGAACAGTGCCTGTGCAAAAACATAAACGATTTTCTGTCTTATTCTTGCTGCTTAGGGAAGCAACTTGTCAGACTATAGGCTTCAAAACGAGTTCTCACTGAAAACCATCTCTCTCTGCATAATCCTGTTACAGACTCCACGTGTGCTGGTTTTAGTAACATGGTTATCACTGATAATCACATTTGTTCAGTTCATAAGTTAGTTCCAAAACAAAGTTATATGATTGCATGCTATGTCCGCTTGGCATGTTTCTCCTCTTCATTCCCCACCAACTTCTGAATCGGTTTCACGTTGAAAGAGGGAAGAGTCTTAAAGATAACGGAAGTCCCACAAGTGCAGCAGCAGTCAAGGACAGATCCAAGTTCCTGCCTGCAGGAAGGGCAGGTACAACGTAGCCATTACGCTCTCCCTTTGGCAGCAGTCGCTCTGCACGGGTTCCAGACTAAGGAGAGCACACCAGCGCGTCGCTTGGGAGGAGGGCGGACAGCGACAGTGACTGCAGCATCCTTGGGCTGTGTGCTTGCCCTGCGTCAGGTTTTGCTCATTCTGCTGCTCACGCACCTCGCCCGTGAACATCAGCATCACTTTGGACTGAGAGCTCCACGGCCCCACCAAGTCCTGCAGCAGAGCCTGTGGACTCTCGTGACTTTCAGGTGTGAGAGACAAGTGCCTGGCACTGGCCTGCCTCTGGAGGAAAGGCACAAGTTATTTCTTTTATGCCATTTGTCTACCCCAACAGATGGGGATCCGCAAATATTACTGTCATTAGCAACTTGTATTTGACTCTGAACAAAGGCCGTGCTGCCGGAAACGGGGACATACACGAATGAAATCCAGTATGACCATCATGAAACCAAGGAGAGGCTTGCATTAAAACCAGAAGTAATTATAAGCTGGGCCGTTTAGGAAAACATTTGTCATATATGTACAACACCATCATTTACCTCACATCAGTTTGTCACCAGTCACAGACACACATTGATGTCCACTACACGCTGTTTGGAAGTGAAAACCTTTGGAAAAAATACAGATGCTGCAGGCAGTGGCACCGATGACTACACAGAAACAAGCTTCCAACCTAGTGCTGGGACAGCACCCGAA